CACCAGCTCACATCCAAAGCCCGAGCAGAAACTGTGGACCAGATGCTCGAATCTGCGGTGTATTCGTATCACACACGCTGTAGTTCGCCCTATGGCGCGATACGAAGTTTGATCCTCGGCATCGAGCTTCTTAGAATCAGGGGAGGAAACAACATCGACGATGCGGGTAGATGGGGTACACGGCTGCTCGACCTGAAGATCCTGGGCCCCATCGGCGAAGCCTTGGCCAAGGAGCGTCTAGCAATCGCCTATTCTTGCAAAGAAGGCGTCGGCAGCTGGCACTGGGGGGCCCGCAGCCGCAAGTCTGCAATGTGGAGTGCCCTCGCCGCGGAGGCATGGGTCAAGCAGGCCAAATACATCCCTGGGCAGCGATGCATAAACCACGCACGGAACATCTACACGGCGAACCCTCCCAAGACGGGCATATCGGGATATACCGAGGCGAACCAGTTCGTCACCTCCCTTGCGCGCACCATAGCGGAGCAGCTCGACCTCGTGGACGACGATCTGGACGATGCGAGCGACGAGGACCTGGATGATGAGATAGACGAGGAGAGCGAGGCTTTCACGGATATGAGACGGAGGCGGCCGAGCAATGGCAGGCCACAGAGCGTCATTGAGACGGCGCCTCTGCGGGACGACGGGACGGGGGAGAATGGCAAGGCAGGGTTTTGATAAGAGTTGGGAGCGACTCGAATTACGGATAGATGGCGTACAGGGGCATCATGGTTGTAAAATACAAAGTATATTAATCTACCACCACTTTGTTTCTTCACCTGATGTCGAGGAGAAGCTATGCTTCCTGTACGGTGATACCGGCATGATTCTGCTATAAGCTTGAAGAGTGCCGCAAAACGGCAGCATAGAAATATTTGGGTGTCATGTTTCGACTTGACAGTTTGTTACGGTAGATTATGAGCAATGATGAAACATAGGAATTGGCTTGCTGGTGTATAAGTGCCTTTCAAATCTATACATCTGAAGACTAAAGGGGTATGCATGGGCTTGAGAATGAATGTCCATGCATACGAGAGGTTGAAAAAAAGATTCTACAGTTTGACAAACCTGGATGAATTTGAGACCACGGGATGGTCCTCTCCATGGCTTTGTTCTTTGGTGAGGCTATGATTGGGCTGAATGATGCACAATGGTGGGGTGTTGGATGGCGCTGATAAGCACAAGCACAGCGGATAAGACCGCCAACGTCACTCGGCATCTAGCCTCTGCCTCTTGGTCCGCGTGCGCGCCCTCGTGTGCCAGGAAACAATAGCATCTAATTCTCGGCGTTTTTGTTTTTCATCCCAACTTGATACCCATTACCGACAGCTGTTTATCCTTGCCAACCCGAAAACACACCGACATCTCTGATTCAGGGCTTGGCTGCCCCATTTTCGCCTGCATCATGGGCGAGCTGGCCGACTATCTTAACGAGCATGACAGCAACTTTCGCAAGTATGCACAAGCCCCCAACAATGGAACCCGAGTTGCTTGTTTTCTCTACTATGCTAACGCGGCATGGACAGGTCACGGCTCCCTGCATTATACTCAGACTTCAGACCACAGCGAACGCTGAACCCTGATGGGTACCAGGCCAACATCTCGGCATGGAACCAAGCCCTATCCCACCTCGCCTCGCAGGGCATCCTCTCTAAATACAACACCGAATCCAGCCCCCTGATACTCAAGATCGACACCTCGATCCTGCGCCACTTCGAAAGCAGACAGTACGGCCAGCCGCTGGCGCTGGGCACCGTCGTGCGAGAGGCGGTCGCGGCCAAGAACCTCGTCCCCCTCAACGACTTCCTCAAGGCGCAGACGAACATATACCAGCGCGGCTGGGGGCAGCTCCCCTGGACCGTGGTAGGGTGGACGCTGCGCCAGCTGGGCGTGGTCGACCCTGCAAGGGGGGAGGACACGCTGCCAGCGGGCCGGTACGTGGCGATGCAGAACCTCGAGTCGGCGGCCGCGGAGCTGAGCGAGAGGATGGCGGGGAGGACGTCCATCTTCGATCGCGTCTTCACCAGGACCCAGTTCGAGACCACGTTCGCCACGGAGCTCGTCCCCGGCCAGCGGCTGTCGGAGCAGGACATCGACGTGCTCCTGAGGTTCCTCGCCCGGGAGAAGCAGACGGTCGAGTACGATGGTCAGACGGTGCGCATCAAGGGCGGCGGCGATGGAGATAGGAAACTCACGGAGGAGGACGCCACCGTCGCGTCCATCAAGGAACTCACGGCCAATCTCAAGCACCAGATTTCCCTACTCAACACACGGGTCGAGGAGCTGGAGCAGACTGCCAGGTCTGCCGTCATGCGCAAGCACAAGATATCCGCGCTCGCTGCTCTGAAATCAAAGAAGATCGCCGAGGCGTCTCTGGCCTCACGGTACACCACCCTGAACCAGCTCGAGGAGGTGGCCAACAAGATCCAGCAAGCCGCCGATCAGGTACAGCTTCTCAAGGTAATGGAGTCTTCTGCCAGCGTCCTCAAGACTCTCAATGCGGCAACGGGAGGCGTTGAGAAGGTGGACAGTGTGATGGACCGGCTGAGGGAGCAGATGGGCACGGCAGACGAGGTGGCGGCCATTCTTGCCGAGTCGGTCGGTGCCCCCATCGACGAGGCCGAGATCGACGAGGAGCTGGAGGCACTGGAAGAGCTGGAGAAGGAGAAGGAGGCGGCGGCGAAGCGCGCCAAGGAGGAAGCGCAACGCCAGAAGGAGGAGGCCGAGGCACTCGAGAAGCTGGAGAAACTTCCCGAGGTGCCTGTGGCAGACGAGCCAGCGAGGGAGAAAGCACAGACGCCCACTTCAGAGACAGGAATTGCGAACCTGTCAATCGAGAGTCAACCAGAGAAGGAAGCAGAATTGTTGGCCAACTAGTTGATGCGATGGTACAAAGCTATCTACTATTCTCTATTGGTGGCTAATTATGTGGAGTTATAAGACTTGGGCGGCCTTTTTCATGGCCATTACAAAGGCATACCATCGTTTGGTGTGATACTTTTAGACGTTAATCATGGATATATGTAGTTTGAACGGACGATAGGGTCCTGGGAAATTGTCGATATTAATTGCCGGTAGATTAGGAATTTGCTTCCCCAGAAGGTTTTTCAGATACCTGCTGGACATTTGGTACCAATATACTTGTACTTGTACTATTGCTTCCTTCTACCAGCCCAGGGATCCCTCCTGATCCTGTGGGTAATTTATTTTCATTGGCGTTGAGCGTCTGTATGTGTACGGAGCTAGGAGTCACACCTGTTACCGCTTCGGCAGCGAGCACTTCGGCGTTTTCTTGAGGTATGCTGTCCTTTTGAGGAGGACCTTCAGGACTCTCGTCCGTCTTTGGTTTTTGTTTGGCTTCCACCCCTTCGGCAGTTACTTGAGGTATGCTGTCCTTTTGAGGAGGACCTTCAGGACTTTCATCCGTCTTCGGTTTTTGTTTGGCTTCCATACGTGTTTTCCTTGCATTTGCAATCAAATCCTGGAATGAGCCATTGTGTTTTGTGGCCCAGGCGGCACCGTCGAAATCCTTATCCTTGATCAGAGCAGCGTTCTGAGCTGCCCGGCCGGTGGTTGGCGCACGACTTCCCTGCGTCTTCTCCCACGTATCAAGTTCTTGTAATAACTGCATACGATTCTTTGGTCGTGCCGCATCGCAGTTGGCGTTCCACAGCGTCACCCATTCCCGATGTCGTTTCTCAAGGATTTGTCGGGGCCCGTGATTGGGTATCTTTAGGTCGCCCAATTTCTTGCGCAGGGCATTTTCTTTGAACAAGCCGTAACTCAGACCCGGTAATCTTTCGTAGGTTGTGTTGTGTGTCCGCCCTATGGCGCCCAGCTGCGTCGTCTGTGTGCTTTTCTTCTTCGGTGAAGGTCCAGTACACGACTCTATATGCCCGAAAACCTGCCACTCCTTCATCCGTTTCTGGCACATGGGACAGGCAACCAAGCCATCGTCTGCTCACAGTTAGTTTTGAGATAACCAGGCCCAGACTCAAAATAATGGTCTTACCGGGTTCAGGAACGAAGTCATCCTCTTCCGTGTCGCTCGCTGGCACAACCTCCTCTTCTTCAACCTCTGGCGCCACCGCATACGACACCGGCTGCTTGTTTCGACTCAACCTCGCCGACGAACGTAACCTCTTCGCATCAGGCGCAGGCTCCGACTGTGACCCATCCTCGCCATCTCTCGTTTTCCTCTTCGGCGACCGGGGTGGTGGCGGGTCAGGTTTCCGCTGCGCAAGTTCCAGTATGGCAGACCGTGCCGCCTTGAAAGATTCAACAGCCTCCTCCACGGACCAGTTGCTGCGCAGCTTGACCTCCTGCTCCCCCGCACGACACACTGGACACTTGCTGTCGTTGGATAGCGCTCTCCGGATGCATAGCGAGCAGAATGTGTGCGAACATGTCGTGATCATCGGCGTTTCGTAGAAGTCCTTGCAGACTTGGCAGCGGAGTGACGCCTCGACTCGCGCCAGCGCAGGTAATGACGTCGAAAGCCAGTCCGTCGAGTCGGCTACATCGTTCTCGGGCATTGTGGCGAAGGAATGGGCGATTAGGTGGGAGATAGAAATGAACAAAGCCTCAAAATGCTGTCGATTCGGTTCCGAATTAATTCCCAGGGTTAGAGGTGCGCCGTCGGAGAGTGAAGCCCTTCACTCAGACCAGCGGAGACGCGGTGGACGCGCTGCGGATTCGATTCGACCCAATCAATTAAAATTCTAGACAGACTCGATAAGAGATTAGACCTGTTTGATGAATAATTGGCTGGTTGAGCGGGCAGAACGATGCAGCTAGTGGGGCGCACTTGCCAATCAGTGGCCAGCTAATTAATCTTGCACGTGAGACCGCGTTGCTGGTTCGCGTCGTGCTGGAACCTCGAGGTCGAAAGGGCTTCACTCAACATTCAAGCCAGAACCTGGGAAGATTCTATGGGAATTTGAAAGAACCCAAATAATACTGAACTAATAATTGGATGAGAGCTTCCCCATTTCCAGTTGAAAATGGACGAGTACAAGAAATTTCTGGCCGATCGGCTTCTCAGCGATGAGCAACCAGTGAGCACAGCTCATCCCAGCCGAATTTAAATACCAGCTAACCAGAGCCCAGATCACATATAGACTTCTCAGCAGAGCGCTCGGGATACACGTCAACACGGCAAAAGAGTAAGGAAACTTATGGCCTGACTTACTTATTCATCAATGACTTATGGCGGAATTATAGAATGCTGTACGACTATCATACCTATCAAAATGGTATCAAGGCAGAGTCGATCCATGCTACCTATGTAGTATATGGCACCAAGACCCAGAACAACACTGCTGAAGATGGGGATGTCGAGATGAGCAGCTCAATGCCTGAGCATGAACCTCTTTCCGAAACAGTTCCCACGACGACCTTGGCCCTGATCCGCCAGGAGAACCTAGAAGGTACCGAACACCCAAACGGGCCTCTTCAATGTACTAAATGCTAACAAAGAGGAAATCCAGCCGCCCTCGCAGAGTACCAGGAGGTTGTGTCAATACATATGTACAGTCTCGCCCCCGGTCCCCAGCGGGACGTATCTCTTCTCTATGATGTGGCCAAATCACTGGCCGAGTACACTTCAAAGGAAGACCCCCTGACGGCTGGCGAGAAGTACGGAACGATCAGGAATCTGAATGTGAGGCGGAGGGACCGTCAAGCGCGTCCCAAGCCGGGCTCTTCCACCACCAGTCAACCTGCCAAGGCTCAACCCCCCAAAGCCCAGCCGATTGTTCCTGTCAAATCTGAGCCAGCTGCTGCCACCAAGAAGCCCTCGCCATTCGAAGTTGCAGCGGCGGCAGCCAAGCTCAAGAAGCAGCCCAGCTCACAGACACCCTCGTCTTCTGAGACGCCGACTTCTAGTGCCGCGAAACCAGCTCCAGCATTGAAACGAGGGGGGTCTGGAAGTATCATGCAGTCATTCGCCAAAGCGAAGCCTCCCAAGCCCAAGCCGGAGCCGAAAAAGGAGGAGGACACTGAGATGGCGCTCTCGGACGATGGGGAGGCTGACGACGAGGACATTGCGAAAGAAAAGTCCGAGTACAAGGATTCGGACGCTGTGAGGAAGTCGAGGAAACAGCGGGAGGACGAACTGAGGCGGATGATGGAGGACGATGACGAAGAGGAGAAGTCCGAGCAAGAACCTGCGGACGAGGAGATGGAAGAGGCCCCTGAACCCGAGCCTGAGCCGGAAGAAGAACCGAAGGAGAAGGAGGAAGAACCGGCCGAAACTATCACCACAACTGCCAATGGCCGGAGAAGGGGAAGAAGAAAGGTCATGAAGAAGGAGCGCGTCATGGATGAACAAGGTTACCTTGGTAAGAGACATTCACTGCTTCATCCTGGGAACTCTGCTAACAAGTATCAGTTACGATACAAAAGCCCGGCTGGGAGTCCTTTTCAGAAGACGAAGCTCCTCCGCCCAAGAAGCCTGCGATCGCCTCATCCAATTCGTCTACTCCCGCCTCATCAGCTGGGAAAGCCAAGAAATCCACCGGAAAGGGGGCACAGGGGAATATCATGTCCTTTTTCGCCAAGAAGTCATAGCATCAGTCTAGAAGCCCGCTGTGAGATATTCATCATAATTTTATTATAACCCTTCTTAGGCCTTTACTTGAAAGAATCTACAACACGGCCCTGGTCTTGTGCTGTCTTGCCTCCCGTAGCTCTATATTGCTCTGGATTTGCCTTTATCCTTGAAAGCAGCGCCGCCAGCCTCTCCACCCCGTCGACAATGTCATGCTCTTCCAGCCAGGCAAACGTGAACCGTATCTCGTTATCGAACCTGACCGAGTCGTCCCCCTTGACCGCAAACATGTTGCCCCCTCCAATAATCAAATTTTCTTCCTCTTGTGCAGCCTTACTGATCACATCAGACGACACACCGACATTGTGGGCGATCCAGACAAAGTAGCCTCCGTAGATATCCGCACCCAGTAGACTGCCATGCCGCACCTCCGCACCAAGTGGCACGAGGTGCTGGCGGAGCGTATCCAGCATCAGCTTGTGCCTCCTCTGCAAGCTCGGCCGGATCACCTGGTCAATGTGCGTCTGCAGCTCCCCGCTGTGCACCAAATCGCTCAGCATCGCGGCGCACAGCTGGCTCGGGGCGCCGCCGCTCTTCGAACTGGCCGTCTGGGCCAGACCAAACGCGAACGCTCTCGTGCCCTCCGCCCATCCCGTGCGCACGCCTGGGCCGGCGATCTTGCTGAATGAGCCGTTACTGACGACATTACCGAACCCGCCTTCTGGAATCCCCAGAGCCTGATCAATGTCAGATAAGCGGGGGAGGTACGCCTCAGGCGGCATCTCGGTTGGCCACACGCCATGTTCCGAGGGGATGCGCCACTGGAGAAAATCGTAGACGTCGTCCGCGATGATGAGGGCGTCGTACTTGCGGGCCAGCCGCACGAGACCCTCGCGCCTCTTGAGGGACATTGTCTTGCCGGAGGGGTTGCCGCAGCTCGGAACGGCGTAGATGACGTGCCTGTACAGCTTCCTCAGCGGGCCGGGATTCTTGTACGACTGCAATTCTGGAAATCAGCCATCGATATCACTTAAATCTACATGAGGGAAACGGGACCAGTCCTCACCTCCCCCGGATCCCCCTTCTTGCTCTCCAACTCCTCGAAAGCCTTCAACTTGGCCTCGAGAACCTCGACATCAATGCCGTCCTCATCCTCGGGCGCCGCATGCAACCTGCCTCTGAACCCCGAATCCTCAAAGATCGGACAGGCAAGATGAAAGACGGGCGCCACGAGCCACACGGCCCTGGTGAACACGGGGTCCGTGTAGCTCTGCAGGACGTTCGCGACGTTCTGGCTCGCGCCGCCCGTGATGCATATCCTCTCCGGGTCGGGATCCACGCTGTAGTGCCTCCCGAGCCAGGCCGCCAGGCCCTCGCGCAGAGGTCTGTAGCCCTCGTCCGGGCCGTACTGGAGCGCGGGCACGAAGACCGTGGGGTCGGTCAGGAGTCGCTGGGCGGCGCCGGCGAGCAGATGTGCGGGGAGGAGTGAGGGGGACGGCCAGCCGCGGAGGAAGTTGATTGCGTGCTTGGCCATGTTGATGTTGATGTGGATTGAATGGAGGGGCTCAACAGTCATAGCACTGGAATCTGGGAATAGCTCGTCCGTCATAAGGATGACTGCCGGATTGTGAGCTGGTTTGAGGTGTGAAAAGAGGCCGTCGCCGGAAGGTTACACAAAGCGGGAAGGCTGCGACCGGCCGGAGGAAAGAGCTACTTTGTCGCTGGTATGGACTCAAATACACATTATTAATCGGGCAATTGTCCGCGATTGACAACTGTGGATTCAACAATGGATGGACCCGGGTGACACTTGTTGACGCAAGACATGGCACTTCAACTGGGTAGGTAATCCAATAATCGCAATGGCCCGGCTATGAAATGAAGCACGCAATCGCATACCCAACATAGACCCAAAATCATGCCGGCTCAGCGGCAAGGCCCAATATCATATCCCACCATGTACGCCATTGAATACTCCAAATACTCCAAGATCCCGTCTTCAGAAACGCAATTTTCCATTGATTCTCCTGATCAAACCTCGTATGGTTTGGCACCCTCGCCGAATATCAAATGCGGCTTCCGCTTTGCTAAGTCCAGGATGGTGACAGCAAAAACACCATTCGCCCAGGCAAACCAACTCCGGGTGTATTGACTTGCACGGTCTACGTCGATACTCTCGTGTACAAGACCAAGCTTCGCTGAGTTCAAGACCAAATCGAGACAGTCCTTGATCTCTTCGTCATCGTCTGACGTTTGTGCCTGGATGAGAAGACTCATCGGCCATGCGTTTCTCAACCCAATGTGCGGGCCTAGTGCTGTCAGTACAGTTTACAGTCAGAATGGTTGGTGGGAAGAACGAACCTCCAATTCCTCTAAAGTCCCTTCCCTCCAGATAGTATGGGTTGCCTTGTTTCTCGAGAATCATCTTCCTTGTATTTTGGTATACTGGATCATCGACGTCGCAAAAGCCCATAACTGGCAGCGCAAGCAGGGAGGGGTAGTTGGCATCGTCCATCATAATTGAGGAGCCGTAGCCATCTACCTCGTAAGCAAACACATCGCCGTATTTCTTATGCTTGACGATGCCGTGTTCCATGACACCATCTCGGAGCTGCGTGCTCCATTTCTCGAGCTCGGCACTCAGGGCGGACTTGCCCGCCTTCTTGAGCACCTTGGACGCACGAGAGAGCTCAACGGACATCATGGCATTGGCTGGGATGAAGAACCCGAGAATCGTAGCATCATCGCTAGGCCTGAAGGCTGAGCGGACAAGCCCCGTCCCACTGTTCAAAGGGTTGCCAAGTCCTTGCAGGTTTAGGGTTTCTGTTCCTATGTTCGTGTTTCTTTGGAAAGTGTATTCGTTCCTAAGATATTTCCCTGTTTTTGGATCAAATGCGGGCTGGGACTGCTGCTCTAGAACTTGGAGCAACGTCTTGACAGCTAGCAGCCAGCGTTGGTTGACAAACTCAGTTGACCCAGTGTGGTCGTAGAAATCATTGGCCAGCGCAAGGAAATGGCCCAGTGAGTCAAGCTCATACTTGCATTCAAAGACAAAATTCTGCTCATAAGCGGGATGCACCTTGTCGTCCTGGCCATTCGAAGCAATTGGGAGGTTACTAATTGGTGGCGGTTGGAAAGCGTTGCAGTACGGCGACTCAATCACGTACTCGGACTGAGTATTGATGGCCCCTAGAAGTAGTTGGAAGATTGCAGGGTCCTTCTGAGCCAATGTCTGGTATGGCCGTAGTTGATTGGTAGAGTCTCGCAGCCATTCGGCGATGATGTCTCCTGTGATGATGAACGACTGAGGACCCTTCCATGCGCCATCCTCCCCAAAGCTCTTCAATCCCCCAAAGCGGAAGAATCCAGTACTCTTCCCATCGGTGTGGAATTTGACAGTCGTATCGGTCGTGGAAGGGAAGGCATTCTCGAAGAGTCGGGCCAGGTCGCGGTCCTGAATGCGCGAGGTCACTTCGTCAATGACCCTCTCGATCTCATCGGAGTGGAAAGTTCGGCATCGTGGATCGGGACGCTGGAACGGTAGACCAAGGGGTCCGGTACTCAGAGGCCGACTGGATGCAATTAGCTGAGCTCATCATCGTCTGAGCTCGGAGAGAAGGGGCCATACTGTGGATATGCAGCGTACTGAGCGTAGTCGGGACATGCCTCTTTGACACGGCTCAATGGATCCTGTTGGCCTGCAACACTGGGAAGCCACGCTGGGCCAAAGGCTACCAGCAGGCTAGCTGCCAGCATTCGAAAAGACATATTCGTGTGATTCGCATGCGCAAGACTGACTGCCTACGTGGCCCTCAGTTGTAGTTGCAAGCAGTCAGTCAAGCAGTGCGAAACAAGTCGCAGCACAGGGGACGGGATATCTTAGTGGGGCACGGCGTCAGAAGCTCCTGCTTTCCCCAGATTTTAGTTCATCCACCTGATACCGACCGAAATGGCTTGTCCTAGTCCAAACTTTGAACCCTTGAAACGCCATAAGTATTCTCACTTTCAGTAATTCTAAAGGCTATCTTAGGTATTATTAAAATACAGGTCAACGCTAAGTACAAGAACAAATACATGTATACAGTCCTACATCAAATAAGTTAAGTGGATATAGGTAATAGCAACGATAAATTCGGGGTTTCAACTACCAGCCCCAAGTTCTGCTGGAAGCTGTAAATACCGGCGGCTTCCATTGTATCCTTTCTGGATCAATAACCCGCCTCTTCTTCGTCAATTGCTTCTCCCTCTGCTTAATGAGTTTTTCTGGGATGATAATTTTGTGGTCGCTCTTGTGGTACACTTGCATCTTCAAAGCTTGAAGCGTATGCTCGACATCTTGTGTTGTCATGGCAAGCGCTGTCGAGATAGCTTCAATTGTCGCTTTCTCTTCTCGCTCGTTGTACCCCATCAGAAGCTCGATGATGTTCTCAGACCAGAATTGACGATAACTGAGAAGACCTAAATCTGACAAGGGCTTCTCTGGCGAGCCAAGCTTCCCTTCGATCCTTGAAAGTTCGTAGGAAAATTGAATCAATAGTCGGCCGAAACCCTTTCGCTGGTATTGCGGTAGCGTCAAAATACAGGCTACGTTATATCCATCTGCACTCTCTTTCTCTTTTGAGAAATACCCCACGAGATGGAATCCTTTGTCGCTCCTGATTGTCATGACGTAGAACAGGAAGGGGTCGACATCATAATAGAGTGTCTTATGATCCAAGAACATTTTCGACAACAAGCAGAGGTTCCGGCACCATGTGCGCTGTCTCCTTCCGTCAATCTCGAAGAAGGAAATGTATTCATCCCGGTAGATCTCATTTCCAGGAGGATGTTGAAGAGTGCACTTCTTGCGATGCCTCACAAAGGAAAACTCGTCGCCATAATAACCCAGGCAAAACTCGCAGATGTAAATAACATCTTCCAAGCTAAACACCTCTGGATACGGCGAGAAATACCAGGGGAAGAGGTCGTTCTTCCCGAATTGGACCTTGGAAATATTTCTGATCCTCGAGACCTCGGTGGGGTTCTGAGTCATTGAGCCGGATGTCCTCAGCTTCTCGATTTCGTCTTCGCGGCTGAATCCGTGGCCATCCTTTTTCTCTTGCGACTCCTTGTCGTCGATATCCATTTCCTCGCCCAGTCCGGGCGTCGCACTAGCTTCCACACTATCTGTTGTCTGAGTCTCGCCTTCGGGTCCGATCGATACCGACTTTCGCTGCTCCTGTGACTCGACGAACTCTAAAGCGCAACGGTTAGGTACCAGATCTGACTTGTACGATGGGAGCGAGAGAGGGTTCATACCTGTCCATGGATGCGGTGTGCTTGCTTCCGACACTGCGGATTGTTCTCGCTTGGTTGTAGGGCGCTTCTGCGCCTTTTTCGAGACCAGAGTCTTCTTGTTTGCAGGTGGCGCCTTCTTCTTTTGCTCTTTGGGCTTGTCCTTCTCTGGATTCGGCCATTCTACGTCTTGATTGAAATCAATTCGTGCCACAGGTACCCATTCATCCAGACGCTTATTGAAGTTATCGAAATTACAATAGAACTGCTTCCCACTCTTGGTTGTCTTGATGCTAAGAATCTCGGCGCGTCGGGGCTTGCCGTCTTTCTCGACCCAAGCGATGCAGCCGGAGATGATGGTGTCAGGTGTCGCGGGGCCCTTTTTTTTGGGCGCATCCGATCCGACGGTAGCCTCTCCACCGGGAGTGCTCACAGCCATGATGGAAAGTCGTTGCGCGTGGAAGTTGTTGATGGATTTTACTGATGGGGTGCTTTCAGAATGACCGGAGATGGAATCTCTGAATGTTGAACGTTTTGGAGGGGCGGCAGAATCTTATCGAAGTCTCCAGAGATATCTTATCGCAAAGGCGGTGAGAATGTTTCCGCGACTGATCTAAGCCCCTCTAGGCTTAGCCTCTTTTCCCACTTAAACATGCTCCATGTTGGCGTACAAAGATCATGAAAAGAATCCCCAGTATCAATTAGGCCGACGGAATTTCATCCCCCAGATTCAAGGAATGTCTTGGTAATAATTATTTCAAATCATGGCAGAATTATCCTCCAATTGGAAGAAGCTGCAAGCTAAATTGAAAACTGAGTCTGCCGCCAAGCCCTCTTTGAAGCGAAAGCCGACAGAATCGACACAATCAGCCCCAAAAAGAGCCAAGATAACCCAAGCGGCAACCCAGAAATCATCCAAAAACTCAGCACCCAAAACCAAAAACAGAGCAAACCGTAATCATCAGCCCATGGGGGCAGTTCAAAGTACCAGGGTTGAGCAAGAGCCAAAACTTGGCGTATCTCCCTCCCTGGCACTATGGGCGGCAGACAATGACATATCCGCTGAGGCGTTGGCCGAGGCGTATGGCCTCGGGGTCAAAGGTCACTCGATGATGACCCCTACTACAAAGGATAGAATTAATCATGGTCTTACGGAAGGGATTGACATAGGCAAATACGTTGCCCTTGATTGCGAGATGGTAGGAGTTGGCCCAGGTGGCTATGAGTCTGCCTTGGCACGTGTCAGTATCGTCGACTTCCATGGCAAGCAAGTATATGATTCATACGTCAAGCCAAAGGAGAGGGTTACGAATTGGAGGACTGAGGTAAGCGGCATCAGCACGAAGGAGATGAGATTCGCACGGGACTTCGAGGAAGTTCAGAAAGATGTCGACGCTATTCTTCAAAACCGCATACTAGTTGGTCATGATATCAAGCACGACCTGGAGGCTCTTAAACTACCTCACCCACCACGAGACATTAGGGATACTGCCAAATACCCGCCTTTCAGAAAATACGGCAATGGGAGAAAACCTTCCCTACGGAACTTGGCCCAGGAAATCTTGAGCATAGAGATTCAAAGCGGTGCACATTCAAGTGTTGAAGATGCTCGAGTCACCATGCTTCTGTTCCGTAAACACAAACCTGGGTTTGATGTCGATCATGCAAACCGGTATCCGACAGTTCAGAAAGGGAAAGGAGGCACCGGAGCAAAAGGGAAAAAGCCAAAATCCAAGCGGAAAGCATGAGACTGTCATATTGCCTAAAGGCTATACACCGCCGTGCGGCCTTGTCAAGAAAGAGATGGGCCATCTGAATTCCAACTATATCGGATGATAAACAGACTGGCTTATGCCATCGATTTTTGAATGTCGAGTCATACCATATATACCCACGATAGTACAACAAATCTATCAAATAATAACGTTTTCCACGTTTCAACTACCGGTTGAAGGAGCTCATGCTTATTCCGGGCGGTGGAATGTCAGTACATTCCCTGTCATCAAATTAGCTGGGAATTGACCCCAAGAATCCATCGCAGCTACATATACATCACTCTTTGATTTTCTCGAAGAAAGCCGTTGCTCGTGAATCCAACTTCGGATATCTGGACAGGGAGAAGAAATCCAACCAAAACTCCTTGGCTTCTTTAAACTGTGGCATATACTCTTGTAGTAGAGTCTTCCAATCTTTGTCCTCCTGTCCCAGGCCTACACTAGCTGAGGCATATTCCCACCACACGGGAAAATAACCACCTGTATCCCAATCGATAATGCCAGTGAGATTACCTTGATCAATCATGATGTTAACATTTGTCAAATCCCCATGTGTGAAGGTGTAAGGAGTTGCGGCTGGCATCAGCTCCCGAAGACGTTGACGAGCCTTTTTAGGAACATTCACAAGTGCCTTGTCCAACTCAGCCCAGAGTTCTTGGTCGCTACTAAAAGGACCATGAGGTGCGGTCGGGCCTGCTAGGAACAAGAAGGTGGAATACACAGGTTCTCCCGTGAGGCTTTGAATGCGCGGCGAGTGGAGCTTTCGAAGCTCCGTGATGTAGTCGGCGGTCTGCTTTGCAATACGGCGCCTCTGATCAGGAGACAATCTTGGCCAAGCGATATTAAGAGTTTCGCCAGTCAGCTTTTCATTGATGATGAAGTGACGCGAACTCTCGGACCAATCCTTTATAACAGTTGGAACGGGAAGGTTGGTGTGCTGCTTCAGAAACCTGAGGTTGCCGGCCTCGTAGTTGGGGGGCGCGATGGAACGCTCTTTGATTATCAATTGTGAGCCTACTGACCAAACCCCACGATCATACATAGCATGCGTGAGCTTGACATGGCTGTGATATCGGCATGCTGCTTGCCGGTCTGTAGACCAGCTGCATGCACTGCAGGGCCTGTCAGTCCCCATAGTCAAGCATGCGCTATGATCCCTCAGGGTAACGACTAGGCAAGTAAGGGAATCACTAGACTAGAGCAGAAACGAAATTATTCAATGAGCGTCGCAAGGTATTCGTGGGTCGACGTCGTTGGTGGTCAGCTCCCTTGTCCCCCCACCGAAGCCCCTCAACGCGTCGCGTCTGGTCCCGCGCCTCGGACGCGTAAATTAGTTGCATCAATCCACCCAAATTTCTCGACCCCGACCTGCCTCCACTCTAGAAGATCATCCCAACCCAGCAATACCGATTGATTATACCTTTCTCGTAGTGAATTATCAAGCCTAGAGAATAGGACATCTTTCACTCCCACATTCACTCTAGATACGAGACCACCAAGATGGCTGCCTCAAGCGAAGCCGGCTTCCCAATGTCGGATGCCCTCTCTCGAGGGGGAGCTACCCCCAGACGAGGGTTTCCATCCTCATCATCAGCCAGACCCCGCGGGCCGCCGTCAGAGAACACCGGTGCTGCGAGCGAGTTTGACGGAGATGGATTTGCAGACGATCAGGTTCCCCGTAGTTCGAGGATACCTGACGCTGCCAATATCCCTAAGATCGACGACAGGATTGGCATGATTGTCCAGGAGCATTTCGAGCAATTCCTTGAAGGGTATGACACTCCTCCCAGGATATCTTCTCAGTTGTCTTCCTAACATTTCCTAGTTTCGCTGAAGATCCTCTCTCGTCTGGCGCACCGACATCGAGCGCCGTTACCACCGATAAGTACTACGTTGCCCAGATCAGGGGCATGCGAACATATCAGCTCTCAACCATATACGTTGACTACAAGCACTTGGTATCATGGCAAAGTGGTAGTTTGGCCGATGGTGTCATCAACCAATACTACCGTTTCATCCCATTCATCACTGGTGCCCTGCACAACATGATCGCCAAGTATGAGCCCCAATACTTCCGCGAACATCGCCAGCCCACTGCTTCCACCCTGGCTACATCTGCCGCAAGCAACCTCGGATCTGCGAGCCAGTCCGACCCCTCCCAACGCAAAAACGAACACCAGCAGACGGACAAGCTCTTCTCGGTGGCATTCTACAACTTGCCACTCGTCTCAAGAGTCCGTAGCCTCCGTTCATCCCACATTGGCCAACTCCTCTCCATCTCAGGCACAGTCACGAGAACATCCGAAGTCAGGCCAGAACTTTCGCTTGCAACCTTTGTCTGCGAAGCTTGCCGAACCGTTGTACCCAACGTGGAGCAGACCTTTAGATATTCTGAACCAACGCAATGCCCTAACCAAACCTGCCAGAACCGATTTGCCTGGCAACTCGATATCCGACACAGCACATTTGTGGATTGGCAGAAGGTCCGAATCCAGGAGAACAGCTCCGAAATTCCAACTGGCAGCATGCCCCGAACAATGGACGTCATCTTGCGAGGTGAGATTGTCGATAGAGCAAAGGCCGGAGAAAAATGCATCTTCACAGGAAGTTTGATTGTGGTCCCTGATGTGAGCCAGCTCGGTCTGCCTGGAAACAAAGTCACTTCAGTCCGTGATGATCGACGAGGAGATGATGCAGGAGGCAGCGGTATCACGGGTCTGAAGGCTCTGGGTGTTCGTGATCTCACCTACCGACTTGCGTTCCTTGCTTGCATGGTGTCCCCAGACACATCTGGCTCTGGCCAGTCTGGTGCCGATACTGCAGCCGAGATCATCAATGCCATGACCCAGAGCAACGCTACTGAGACTGAGCAATCTGCGGAAGAAGCACAAGCAACTGTATTGTCAAGCATGAACAACGCTGAAATTGATGATCTGAGGGCCATGGTCCACGGCGATCGAATCTACTCTCGACTTGTCAACTCGATGGCCCCAATGGTGTACGGACACGAGTACGTCAAAAAGGGTATTCTGCTCCAGCTTCTCTCTGGTGTGCACAAGACAACTCCTGAGGGGATGCAGATTCGTGGGGATATCAACATTTGCATCGTTGGCGATCCCTCCACCTCAAAGTCACAGTTCCTCAAGTACGTTTGCTCATTTGCGCCTCGTGCGGTCTACACCAGTGGTAAAGCTTCATCCGCCGCCGGTCTCACTGCCGCTGTAGTCAAGGACGAAGAGACGGGTGAATTCACAATCGAGGCTGGTGCCCTCATGTTGGCTGACAACGGCATCTGCGCCATTGACGAGTTCGACAAGATGGATATTGCAGACCAGGTTGCCATTCACGAAGCCATGGAACAGCAGACCATTTCCATCGCCAAGGCAGGTATCCAGGCCACACTGAATGCACGCACCAGTATCCTCGCAGCAGCGAACCCCGTTGGCGGTCGATATAACCGCAAAACCAGTCTCCGTGCCAACATCAACATGTCAGCGCCCATCATGTCCCGTTTCGATCTCTTCTTCGTCGTCCTCGACGAGTGCAACGAGCAGAGCGATCGCCACCTGGCCGAGCACATTGTCGGTATCCATCAACTCAGAGACGCGGCCGTCGAGCCCGAGTTTAGCACAGAGCAGCTTCAGCGCTACATTCGCTTCGCCAAGACCTTCAAGCCCGAATTCACCCCTGAGGCCAAGGAGGTCATTGTGCAGAAGTACAAGGAGTTGCGCGCTGACGACGCACAGGGCGGCGTTGGCAAGAACTCCTACCGTATCACTGTCCGACAGCTCGAAAGTATGATTCGTCTATCCGAGGCCATCGCCAAGGTCAACTGTACTGAGGAGATCAGCCCCGAAATGGTCATCGAGGCATACACTCTTCTGCGCTCCAGCATCATATCCGTCGAGCACGACGATGTCGAGATGGACGGTGACGAGGAGGATACTCAGGAAGAGGCCGAGGCTCTGCGTCGCGTTGCCGAGGAGAACAGCGCCGCGGCAGATCAAGAGGGTGAAGAGTCCCAGGGAAGGAAGAAGCAGAAGATTACATACGACAAGTATATCAAGATGGTCAACGCATTCGTTCAGCACATCAAGAATGATGAGACGGCCAGCGGTGACGGTATCGAGGGCGGAGAGCTCATCAACCGCTATCTGGAAGAAGTGGAGGAAGAGCTGGAGAACGAGGAGAGTTACGAGACGGAGAAGACGCTGGCCAACATGGTTCTCAAGAGAATGGTCAAGGTACGTAATGATAGAAATCCATCGCAGCCCCCAGTCGCGGCTCTTCTGGTCAAATCGACGGACACTAACCTCAATCTACAGGACAAGATTCTAATGGCCCTTCGTGGAGAAGGTTTAATGAGCGACGACACAGCAGGCGAGGGATCGTCTGCCGCAGCAGCAAACATCATCTATGTCCTGCACCCCAACTGCGCAGTTGAGGAATTCTAAGCGGACTGTGTGTGTTATTGGCAGGTGTCAATTTGACTTGCAAGGGAGTCTCATTTCCCGAGCGAAGATTGTTCTATGATAATGCATCCACGGTGTATGATGAATGTCAACTGTCTGGTAGAGTGGGGAGAGGGGTTCAAGGAGTCTGGAGTTCAACCAAGCATATGGCGGGCTTTTCCATTTTGTTTTAACCCCAAAATTTGCAGAGTTTCTGATGAATGGTATCCCATTGTGCTATCTCTGTTTATTTATCTCGTTTTCGATATAGAATAACATCTAATCAAAAGAAAAGTGTAACTCTCAGTGTCCAAATATTCAAAACGATAAGTCGAGGCGTAGAAATCATGCTGGTCAATACAACACACACGCGGCCTCTGCAGGGTTCACAGCCATATTTCAGCGTTGAGAGTATAATAATAAGGGAAAACTTATAATGATGATAGCTGATGATCTGCTCGTCTAGAAGCTTTGTCGATGGGGACTATATAAACCACTCTATGCCCCAAGCCACGTCCCTCGGAAAATTGTGGAAGGGTGGCATGCAAAGGCTACCAAAGAGCAGAGGTTGAGCCCATGGTTTCTTCAAGTCATAAAGGCATGCACTGTGCAGACCGTGTCCATCCAAAAGACTTGCGCAAATGTCACTTAATTTGTGACCTATAAGCAAAACCGCAATACGCCATCACAAGGTCCCGAGCTTCCCAGCTGGGAAAGTTCAAGTCTGCTTCCGTGACGATCAAATAGAATCTTTAAATCTGAACAATACTTTTCCCTTGTGTAAAATTTCATCTATATTTTTCTCCCTACCGCATCACCATCGATGCTCACTTCGCCGTGATCCCGTCACAGAAAGTGAAACCCCTATGCCGCAAGCTGCACATCGACAGACCCATCAGCCGTCCCAAAGTATGCAGCCACGGGCTTCTGCGCCTGGCCTACCTGGCCCAAAGAGACGGCCTGGTTGCCGTTGAACCCGTGGAAGAGCCCAATCTCGACGATGCCGGGCACCCTGAGCAGCTCCTGCGCGAGCCTGCTCACCTCCCACTTGCCGGCGTTCTTACCGCTGCCGTCCTCGGAGGAGCTGAGGTCCTTGGGGAGGAGTAATGGGGGGAAGGGCGCGTCGATGATCCACATGCCGTTGTCGGTCACGCACTCGCCCGCCTTGCTGGGCAGGCCGGAGCGGACGGCGGGTTTGGGCGAGCCCATGGCCCGCAGGCGGGTGAGGACGTCGGGCGCGGACAGGGGGAGGACCTCGATGGGGATGGTGAGCCACTTGGTGCACAGGCGGGGGGACTGCTTGCGGTAGTCTTTAACAGCTGCGAGTTAGTTTCGAGATTCACTTATGTGCGAGAAAGGGTTGGAAACGTACCGGCCACGGCGATGAACTTCTTAGCCGCGATAGCAACGAGCTTCTCCTGGAAGAGACAGGCGCCGCCGCCCTTGATCAGGTTCAGGTCCTCGTCGACCTCGTCGGCGCCGTCAAAGGCCACGTCCAGGGCGACGCTCTGGCCATCCACGACGGGCCGCTCGTCGAGGTTGGAGAGCTTGAGACCCGCAGCCCGGATGAGGCCCTTGGACTGGCTGCCGG